TTTAGATCACCTTGGGGTATGTTAGAAAATAAGCTGGGAGAGCAAAGCAGATCAGTAGCTTGACAATGATACTGAGGTACCTGCAAAATGAGCACACGTGAACTACGCCGGGGGTTGATCGGCGGAAACCCCTCCGACGCTCAGTCAGACGTGCTGATCATAGAAAATAGTCCAGAGAATACAGTAGTAGTATTGCTCAGTTAATAGGACGTACCTTAATAAAATGAGTAAAACCTCTATTTATATGTCGTTTATTTGGTTGGGTTTGCTTTGTTGGGCCCAAGCCTTACTTGAAGGTATTTGGGCCTCGGTGATATTGGTCTTCGATATTGGGCTCGTAGCCCAGTAGGTAAAGAAATTGTAGGCCCATTGGGTTGGCCCAATTAGGCATATCATTAAGCCCCCCACTCTCGAGTCGATGTGGGGGCCATGTTGTGATGGGTCTCAGATCGTGTCGAGAGTAAAAATTGTAGAAGTCGATCGTTGGCGTATGGCCTAATGGTATGCGAAAACGCGTTGGAGCGTGTGTCGGAGGGGTGTGAATGCGCTTTGGCGCATAGCGCGACAAAGTTGCCGCGATATAAGTTAATTGAGTCGTCGGTTTTGTCCCGCGACGATGTAGTAGCGATTTATCTCCTCGTGGGAGTTGTCTTGTCGCGGGGTAATAGTGTTGATCGAGTTATCTCCTCGTGGGAGTTGTCTCGCGATAATGTAGTAGCACGGATCAAGTAATCTCCTCGTGGGAGTTGTCTCTGGGGTAATCGAGTTGATCGAGTTACGTCTTCGTGAAAGTTGTCTCACGATAATGTAGTAGCACGGAGCTAGTATTCTCCTCGTGGGAGTTGTTATTTTTCGACATTTTCAATGTTTTGACGCGTTGCTTGTATGTGTTTACATATAGCCTTCTGCGTGATGTACTTGAGGAGGGGATCAGGCTCTCAAGATTTTTTTTATATGGGGGTCGTGCCCCTTGTTAGACCTCGTGGGTCTTAAGTATGTTTGGACCGTGGCCACGTTTTAATGAATGACCCATCGAAAACAAGTAGATAAATTTGAGTAATCAAGCTGGCCAGGCTATATAGATTCTCATAATATCTCTAAGTGCTTCTAAGGTTGTAATCGTGCTAACTTGAGCTTGCGATTATATGGTGAATTTCAGGCGAGTTGTCTCCTCATGGGAGTTGTCCCGCTGCGGGTTGGGGTACCGAGCGAGTTGTCTCCTCGTGGGAGTTATCTCGTTGTAGGTTGTAGTACCGAACGAGTTGGCTCCTCGTGGGAGTAATCTCGCTGCGGGTCATAGGATGGAGCGAGTGGTCTCCTCGTAGGAGTTATCTCGTTGTGGGTTCGTAGGACCGAGCGAGTTGGCTCCTCGTGGGAGTTTCCTCGCTGCGGGTCGTAGGATGGAGCGAGTGGTCTCCTCGTAGGAGTTATCTCGCTGTGGGTTCGTAGGATCGAGCGAGTTGGCTCCTCGTGGGAGTTTCCTCGCTGCGGGTCGTAGGATGGAGCGAGTGGTCTCCTCGTGGGAGTAATCTCGCTGCGGGTCATAGGATGAAGCGAGTGGTCTCCTCGTAGGAGTTATCTCGCTGTGGGTTCGTAGGACCGAGCGAGTTGTCTCCTCGTGGGAGTTTTCTCGCTGCGGGTCGAAGGATGGAGCGAGTGGTCTCCTCGTGGGAGTTATCTCGCAAGCCCCCCACTCTCGAGATGATGTGGGAGCCAAGTCGAAAAGGATACCGGATTGTGTCGAGAGTATATCGGTGTCGTGGTGTACCAATAATTGTTGGCGTGGTGTGGGAAAATAATATTTTTTATTTATCCGTTTGAAAGCGCGCGTGAATTAATATTGGCTAGTTGCGTTGGAGAGCTTGCGCAATTTGGTGAATCGCTTTGAAATTTTCGTGCGATTTGGTGAAGCGAGTCAGAATCTACACACAATTTGGGGAGAGATAAATGAAAAAAGGGGCCGCGCGCTGTGTTGGTAGGTGATGCATGACATCATGCATGGAAGAGCATGATGTGATGGATGGCAGTCACCCACGTGCTGCTGTCCTTTTTTTTTTTTTTTTTTTTTTGTTTTTTTTTTTCTTCGCGCGGAAGCCGAGGCGCGCGCTTGCCACGACGCGCGGCGCCCCACGCGCGCTGGCAGCCTCCTTTTTCCTTTTTCTTTTTTTTTTTTTTTTTTTTTTTTTTTTAATTCTACTCGCGCGGCAGCCGAGGCGCGCGCTTGCCAAGACGCGCGGCGCCCCACGCGCGCTGTCAGCCTCCCTTTTCCTCTTTTTTTTTTTTTTTTTTTTTTCTTTTTTTCTTTCTCGCGCGCTATCCGAGGCGCCCGTTTCCGAATTCACGGCTGCCCTCGCGCGTACAGTGCACGCGCCAGCCGCTTTTTTTTTTAATTATCTCGGTGTGCGCGCGCGCAGCTGGCTTGGAGGCCCATTGGGTTGGCCCAATTAGCCATATTGCCTGCAACAAACCGCCGTTCCAAATCCCCACAAACCGTCGTTCTCAAATCCCCATCACCTCTTCTCTTCTTTTCTGGAACCAAAACTCAGTAGTATCGGCTGCGATGGCGACGGCGGTGAAGGTGACGAAGGCGGCGCTACATCTCAACAACGACGAGGAAGACCCCTTTCTCTTCTTTCTCGAATTGGGAATGCGACGGATGTGGGGCAAGGAGAGGACGAAGCCGGCTCCAGATCTCGACAACGACAAGGCGCAACCGCCGAATCTAGGGCGGACGGCGGCCCTCCGGTCTCCCCCCTTCCTTTCTGAGGCATGAGCAGATCTGCTGGTATTTTTTTTTTTTTGTTCTTTCGATTTTTGAAAGCATTCCTGGAATCCTCGTTAGAAGACCGCCTCCACCACCGCTGTAATGGAATAGATTGACCTCGAGGAGGAGGTATTGATTGGGAGGCTCGTTTGTTGAAATTGTGTTCGTGTTACTCAAAAATATATAGTTGTTTTCGTTACGGTTGTAGTTGGTTTCAATAATAATCGTTTTTGTTGGAATTTTGGTGTGTTTTTTTGCTTTTGCTTTTGTGGATTTCAATAATTTGTAGTTGATTCAACATAGTTGTTTTCGTATAGCAATATACTTGTTTTGCACAACAATATTATTGTTTTCATTACTTTTTAGTTGGTTTGAATAAATAGTTGATTTAACAAATAGTTGTTTTGGAGATGTTTTGATTAAACAATTAGTTAATCTTACAATGGAAATAATATTATATATAATTAATTTAATAAATTGTGAAACTGATGTATCATTGTTTTACGACCAATTGTTTTAATAATAGTCGTTTTATTGGTATATAGTTGTTTTAACTGAAAACTAAAATAATATAGAAAAGGAATATTTGAAGAAAAATATTAAAAAAAAATAAAAAAATAAACTTTTTTTTAAAAAAAATATTATTTATTAAAGAAGAAATAAATAAAAAAACGAAAATTAAAATTAAAATATAAAAAATAAAAAAATACATCAAACTAGTGGATAATGGATAGTGAATAGTGGGAGGGTAAAATTTGAGAATAAAAAAAATGGATTTCTCACTAATAAAAGAAAAGAAGTTGGACCCATCCTTATTAAAACAATGCGAGAGGGGGTTGTCACTAATAGCCCATAATTTTTTAGTTTAAAAAACTTAATAAATTTAACAATTCCATGAG